GCATCACATAAAGCTATTATTTTGTACCCTTCTGGTGTTGGTTTATTCTTGATTCTGAAAGTATGTGCGCTCCTACCACAAAATCTTATGATCATTTCATCTATAGCAACATTGGACGATGGAATATAGATGGATTCTGATATCATTTTTATATGAGATGCCAATGGTTCAAGTTTCGAATACCAAAATGGATGTTCTTCTTCTATATCTGAAATGTGCAAAAAACTTTTTATACATTCAAATTTTCTAAGAGGCATATATGAGACAATAGAATGTATTGGCATTCTCTTGTTCCCATTCCATAAATCCCGAATTGATGGCATTTTGAATAGGCCTGCATAAATTATTATTCCTAACCAAATGTATAAGTCAAATGAATCAATGTCTGTCCACAAATCTTGTTTTTTATTTCGACCATATTTATTAGTATTATTTACAATTGCCCTCAAAATAATATCTGTGAAAAACAATTTAAAAAGTTGTAAAGGACTAATTGAATCAAGATTGTTAAATTCATTTGACAAATTTACTTCGGATTCATGCAATGGTAATTGATGATTAAGTTTATTAAAAAGTGGTGGTTCTGGAAGGTTGATTTGATGTGACCGTGATTGTGCACTTACACCTCTCATTCTTCTTCCATGGTTGCTTCTTGTTTTAATCCCACTTCTAACTCTTCTAACTCTTCTATTAAAAGTTGAGCCTTCCATTATTTCATCTTCGCCATCCTCGCCATCCTCATCTTCTTCTTCATTGTTTACTTCTGAATCACTAGAACTTTCAATTAATTCATTATCATTTAATTCGTTGTAAACTCCACCTAGTCTTCTTGTCATATTAGCAATGTAATAACTAGTATCATCATCATAATCTTCAAAAATTGGTTCATTATCTTCGGAAATATCCATAGTTTGTTCTTGGGTTTCAATCGGATTCATTTTAGTTTCTTTATGAAAATTTGAAATAAAATTGGATAATTTTGTTGAATATTTGACTATTTTCAAAAGTGATTATTTTCAAAAAATGGTTAAAAAAATTAAATTATTACTTATCTGAAGGCGCCTCATACTTTTGCAAATTTATAGGAAATTTGGGACAAGTTTTTTCATTTAAAAAAAGATTTCGTGTTGAATTTCGGAATTTCGGAATTTTGGAGTTTTCGGAAAATTTACGGAATACATTTTCCATAAATGAGTCAAATTGTGCCGATGAATAAGAATGGGTTTCCAGAAACATTTTTCATTAAGTACATGCTATGCTCAGAATCAAATTGAAAAACTTTTATTTGTGACAAAAACTTTGAATTGTAAATTGCGTGCTGATCGGCACGCAATTTCGTTTAAGGGATAATAAATATAAACTAATTGTCATAAATTATTAGCATTACTACTCTTTTTGTAACATTTTATTAATACTAAGACTAATATTGTTGAATTATCCATTCAAACCGCAGATAATCCATACAATCCGGATGATCCGTTCAATTTTATTATTATTATTAGGGTAGAAACATTATCTCAGGAATTAGGGGAGTCGAAGAAAAATTAAGTCACTATCGACAGAGTGCCAGTTAATGCAATGAGTCAATAACGGTCAATAACTATCCCTGGTCAATTAAAATTAATTCTGGTAGTAACACAAGTAGGCAAGAATATCATTAACAAGAACAACATCAATGTTTTATACACGGGCATGAACTATGTAAAATAATTGGACTTAACATATGCACCTGTAGGAGAGCTAACACCACAAGGCCGGCTCCGATGGAAGGGCGATCGAAGAATCACCACTATCCAAACCAAAAAGTAAGTAATAGCAGTAGCATCAGAAATAATAAGACAAAACTCTAACAATAACAATAACATTAATAATATCTATAGAAATAAATTCTATATTAATTGTGTCTTATGATAGGAACAAAAATAATTGTAAGAATGGCAATAATTTTAGCATTATTGATTACAATATTATGGAGTAATCGTTTGTCAATTATTCCTATGCAAAGGGAATTGTCATTATGAATAAATAAACGGATTTGTGTTAAATGATTCGAATAAACGAATAAAAAAAACGAATAATTCGAATAATTCGAATAAAATAACAACGAATAATTCAGATAGTTCGAATAAACGAATAAACCAATAAAACGAATGATTCGAATAAGCGAATAGTAATAGGAACTCTGGCTCAATTCAATAATAATAAAGATTTTTTAAACAGGTTGCATTTCATTTTAATTATTCACTCATTTCATTGAATTATAATTAAACTCGCGTTACTATTGAAACGTGATTAGTAATTTTAATATAATGATATTAAAATACAAAAATTGTTCTCATTTGAAATTTTCGGGATTTTTTAGTCTGTCATAAAGTTATTTATGATGATTTAAAATCCAAGCATGTTATCAATTTATTATTGCTTCAGTAATCGTGATTTTATAAATTTCGAGTTGGCTCGAGCTCGAGTCGAGTTCGAGCCAACACTTTTTTTATATGCGAGCTGACTCGAACTCGCATATTCGAGTCAAGTCAAGCTCGAGCAAAGCATAAATTCGGCTCGGCTCATTAGGAGCTTTATTCAAAGTTCAACTGTATTTTCAACATTTTTATTACAATTCCCCTTAATTTCATATATATATTATATATTTGTATCTTTTTTTTATATATATAGATATTTGTTGGAAAATGTTTATTACATACATTACTAGTTTTAGGTCATGTTGCACTCCTCTTCCTATAAAATAAGTTGTTTTTTAAAAATTTAATTCGCGTTTCAAAAATTAATAGTAAATTTTTTCTTTTCATTTTTTAGAAAAAATGTCTCCAACTAAGAAGGATGTTAAGAAAAAAAGAAGCAGCAATGATAAAAGAGGAGAAACGCGTGAAATGTTTTACAAGCTACAGTGAACCCTCCCTAAATGCACGCACTATGTATACCCTCCATAAATGCACGGCCCATCTCATCCCCAAGCTTATAGAGAGCTTATAAAATCACCCTCCATAAATGCACACCCTCCATAAATGCACGCTCACAAGAAATAGCACTATGTTCTCGAGGGGGGTGCACTTATGGAGGGTTCACTGTATTCTAGTCATTGTTAAAAATGATGATTATTGTTTAATTAAAAAAATGAAAAACATGTCAAGTCAAAATAGGAAAACCCCAAAAATATACGTAGAAAACACTCGTTCATTAAAACATATCAATAATTGGATCAGGTTCTTATGATATGGAGATCAAAGTTGGAGCAGAACAGGACGATGTTAGGATTTTTAAAGCCTATTCGTGTGTTTTTAAAAGCAAGATCTTCCTTTGTACTTTAAAGCTGCTCTATCAAATAATTGGGCAACAAGTCCGAAAATGATGTTATTTTATTCGAAAAAACAAGATGTCTCCAAAACATTGAATGTATTTTAACGTAATACTAGTTTAATTTACTTTAATTAATTGATTAATTACTAAATCTAAAATTATTAAAACGAAAGCTTTTTTTTCAAAATAGGTATATATATTTATAATGGAACTATTGATATGGATGATTTGAATCCTAATGAAATTGCCGAATTTTTTATTGCATGCGATGAATTGAATTAGATTTTAATGAATTACTTGATAATTTACAAAATCACCTCATTGCAAACTAAGAAGAACGAATTCTGCAGAATCTAAATCATCTATATCAAGATTTCAATCATTTAATGTACTCCAAAATAATTAACAATCACCAGCATACCTTCTAAAATCTAATGACTATAAAGATATTTAAAAGCCAATACTTATATCCATTATAGAAAAAGATAGTTTAAGTTTAAAAGAAATTCAAATTTGGGATCATATCATCCAATGGGGAATTGAACAAATTGAAAATTTGGATGGTGAAAAAATTTCAGAGTTGAATGAAGAATATTCTAAAAGATATTATTCCTCTATAATATGACAAAATTACATATGTCAAATGTTATTTCCTAAGGCTTTGTGGGAAGATATTTCACATTATTCATATTTATTGCCATCAAGAATAATAATTGACTCAACGACAATCAATAACAGAAAGCTTGTTTGATTTTTTGCAAGTCGGTTTGCTAACTACTATTCGCAACAAAATTATCCAGTAGCATATGAAAAACACAAGTATAAGTTTTTACAGTCAAACCTTGTAACAGCGGATGAATGAGACACAAGAGAAAATTTTTATTTAAAACCCGTTATGACAAGAATTTAATTACAGTCTGCTTTAGCAAGGCTTGACTGTATATCGTAGTAGTAAAGATGATTTATATTTCATCAAAAATGTGACAATATCAATCAACAAAACTTTTGTAAAATACAAAATTCTGAACAAATAGTTGGTGGCTACCATCCACATGATTGCAAGGTTACAATTGGGAATAGACCAAAAATTTATAATGATATCAATATGGTAGTAAGTTTGATGAATTGGAGATTTTTCAAATAGATGAAGACCTGTATTAAGATTTATTATGTATTATTTTATTGAAGTTTTTTATTAATAGGCTTATTTTTGGTAAATTAATATGATCCAGTATTAACTCCATTCTAATAAGTGACTTTTAAAATTATTTTTAATGAACCAATGGTCCAAGTTCTATAGTTTATGCATAAAATTTCATTTTATTAAAAATAATTACAAAAAAATACAAATATTAAAGATAAAAAATATTATTATAAATAATAGGTGTTCCCATATTTATTGATATGGCTTAAAGGTAATATATGTTCACCAATATTATAGCCATTTGCACTAGATTCTTCCTTATTATAAATCCTTGTTAATTCATCAACAAAATTACTTACTTCTTTAAGTGTCACGCTATATCGTTTCTTCATAAAATCATTATAATTACTAAAATATTTTGATGCCAAGTAATAATATAATTTAAATGGTTGAAAATTCTCTCTTTGAAGTTCTTTTTCTTTTGAATCAAAATGATTTGGATAAGAATTGACTCTGTTATCATAGATACGTTTTTTTGTGTTTAAAGTATAATAATAATCATTGCGATCTTTATCAAATAATTTGTCAATTTCTTCAAATGATTTATATTTATCATCGAAAATATCTTCTTCATTAAATTTTAGCACGAAATTTTTTACGCCTAATTCAATTGGTGTTAAACCAAAGGCATTCTCATCATATAATAATCTATTCAAGTTTTCCTTGCTTTTCTTCTCTTCATTATAATTTTCAATCAAATTCATGATTAGTTTAGTTGTATCAAACAAACTTTCTCTTATTGATAAATGTAAATAATTATTTGATTGAAAATCTTTTAATAATAAGTTCTCTATTGACTTATTTTTACTTAATAAAAAGTTAAATGTATCCTTTCTTCCTTCTAAAATTGCTATTGCGATTGGTGTGAATGAATATTTTTTACTTTGTTTATCCAACATCCTTTGAAATAAATTTGAATCCAATTCTTTATATAATAATTTTAAAGTTGACAAATTACCAAAATATCTTTTTTTCCAAAATATGTGTAATAATAATAATGAAAATTAATTAATTATAATTAATTAATATTTTTCAAATAAATAAAATAATAATACTTACGCTGCATGATGTAAGGCATTCCATCCATTTTCATCACAAATTTCAGGATCAGTGCTCGTCTCATCAATTAAAACTTTCAAGCATTCGTTTGAAGCGTTCAAAGCTGCATAGATAAATGCGGACACTTTTAATTTTTCATCACATCTTTTATTTATAAATTTTTCAAATTTAACTTGATCAACTTTCTCCTTATATAGCTCCAATATTTTCTTACAAGTATTTGGCTTGTTTCTATTTATCGCCCAAAATAGAGGTGTTTCGCCATTACTTGCATAATTAATGTCAAAACCATCCTTCTTCTTCTCGCCATCATCATCACCATCATCGCCATCGTTATATAAATGAAATAGATTTTTGCCAATTTCAAAAGATTTATCTTTTGTTCTAACATAATTTTTTGATGATAATTTTTTTGAATCGTAATTAATTTCAAAGTATTTTTGTAGTGAATTTATAGGTCTATCTGATAATAAATATTCAATGGATTTATCACAACCGTAAAAAGATGCATAATTAAGAAAATTATTGTCAATCGGTTTTGTGGATAATGCCGGGTGATTATTTATAATCCAGTTTCTCTTTTTGATTTTATTTGCTTCAATACCTAAATAAACACTATTAAAAATGTTCGTATTAATAAGATTAGTTATTTTTTTATTATTAGCTAAATCAATTAAATATATATGTATATATTATTACTTTGGTTTTTCAATCTTGATAATTTCATTATAATCAATTTTTTCTCTTTTTAATTTAAATTCTGTAAAATAATTTCCACCTGCCCCATACCTAAATAAATGAATTAAATGTTTACAAATATTTTCTACTTATAGATATAATAATAATAATAATAAATAGAAAATTAAAATTTCTACATTCAGCTTACTCTATTAATAAATCCATAATATCCAAATATTCATAATAAATAGCGTATTTCATTAAATCTTTCTCTTCAATTAAATTTATAATTATATCACCTTTTTCATCATTATCATTTTCAACTAACTCATAGCTTTTAATCCAATCAAACAATTTCTTTACAACATTAATATTATTAATTGTGACAGCTAATGTAATTCCATCAAACGATTTAGAAATCAATTTCGAGTCCTCAACAAAATAACCTTTGTTTTTAGGAGACTTGTATTCGTTTATATGTTTTTTAACAACATAAACACTAAATTTTAATAATTGTAATGGAGTAATGTTAATAAATTTTGGTTGGAAATAAATTTTATTTTTTCCAGATAATAATTGTTGTTCTGATGGTGGTTCTGCCAAATTTTCATCCAATTCGTTGCTTCGTTGATTAACATAGTAAACAGAATCACTTGATTCTGAATTTTCATCACATGTACTATAATCTACATATTCTTCTATATCATAATTATTTATCAAGTTTAATTTGTTCTTTTTACGATCGTCCTCATAAGCTTCATGTTTATATTGATTTTTGGATATTTCTAATATTTTAATAGCCATTTCATCATGTCCAAGGTAGCATGCCAACGTAAAAGGTGTCATTTTGTTGTTATCTTGAACACATATGATCAAATTCTTTCCTAGTTCTTCAACCAAGCTGACATCATTGTTCCATACTGCTTCATATAATTTAAAATAATCTTTGTAATAAAACTCTGGTACAATGAAACCAAATTTAGGAAAAGAAGATAAATAATAATATTTAAATATATATTTATTAACATCTTGAATTGTTGGTTCAAAAAACTCATCTATATTGTAATTGTCTAATGATTGTTTCTGTTCAGCGTTATTTTTTGTTAAACTATTGTTGATATTACTATTATTGATAGGAGCAGTAGTATCTAATGCCTTAAAAACTTCTTGTATATGGGTTGATATATCAGCCGAGAATCCTTTTTGATTATTAAGGACCCGTTTAAAAATTGGAATTTGTTTATTCAAAATACTTTCTTTTACTTCTAATAGTTTTAATTCTTCATTATTATTTCCTGTAATCTCAGATTTTTGATCAATTAATTCTTCAACTTGTTTAATTTTCGTATCCAACACCTTTTGATAATTGAGCATTTTTTGATAAGCATCTAATAAAGATTTTTGATAATGTTCGTCCATTACTAATTCAACATACAATTTTGCACCTTTTCCAACAATGTATAGAAAACATTCATCAAGTTTTTTAAGTCGTTCCAATAATTTTTCATCGGCTTTCTCTAAATTTTTTAATGAATCCAAGTGGCCTACACCATGATAAGGATTAATATTTTTTTTTGTAATCAATTTGTAAAGATCATCAACATCAGCCTTTGACAACGTGTAACTTGAATATGAATTTTCTCCTAATTTTTGAATTTCAGATTTAATCAAACTAATGAGATTTTTCTTTTCAACCCTAAAAGATTTCCTGCTAGAAATCTCAAATGAAGTCAATTCATCAAGACAAGAATAAATTTGGTTTTGAACATAATCTAATAACGTTTCACGTGGCGCATATAAGCAATTTATTGAAGCTCCTGATTCTAATAAAGTCTTATAAATACCATTTTCTAATGAGAAAAATATATTTTGTTTTACACCACCAAATAATGTTGTTGATGTAAGTTCTCCTTTGTTTTTTAAGTCAGTTTCTAAATCTTCATATGAAATTTCTGCTTTAGCACCATATTTCAATAAAATATCAACTAATTCTTTGTTGTCGACTTTAATGGCATGTGTAAGTGGTGATTCTCTTAATCTATTAAGAAGATTTATCACATTAATCGCTCTTGGATCCGTATCAAGCAATAATTTTACAAAATTTGGATGCCCTATATTTATGCATATATAGTAAATATAATAATAATAATAATAATAACAACAACAACAAAAACAGCAATGTTTACCTCGTTTTGTGGCAAGATGCAAGACTGTGTTAAAATTATAATCTAGCTAATAATATTTACATAAACAAAGGCGATTAATAATAAACCATCATGATCACAATTATGATTGCTACTATTAACATATAGAAATATAGAAACCTGTGAGGCAGTTGCACCATTTTCTAATAATATTGTTGCTATTTGCATTCCAATTTGTTGATCATAAACCAATAAACACAAGTCCAATGGATAATAAATTAACTTTGTTTCGGCATAATTACTAATATAAACTTTGCTTTTTCTCGCTCGTCTAACATTAGCACCAACGCTAATCAAATATTTAACCACATCAATATTTCCAAATAATATGGCATAATCTAAAGCAGTAAATTTGTGATCCCATGTTTCAAAATCAATATCAATAATATCCTCCTCCTCCTCCTCTTCCTCTTCATTCTTTTCTGCAACATCATTGTCATTTTCTTCTTCTGGATAATTGTTATCCAATTCTTTTAGATCAACCATCTCTAATGATTTATCCAAATCATCATCAACTTTTGATTCCTGTATTTTGCTGTTTTTTAATTGCTCATTTAGTTTATTTTTTTTAAACAATAAGTCTAAAATATCTAAATGGCCGTGTTGAGATGCTAAATGAACTGAAGTTCTACCATCATTCATTTTTGCAGTAATTTTTGCACCATTTTTCAATAGTAAATCAACAATTTCCAAATGGCCATTTAAAACGGCTAAATGAAGCGGTGATCTGTTAAGATAATCTTTTTCATTTACATCAATATCCTTATTTATAATGTTTTTATCAATCAATTCTCTAATATAATCAATATCGCCTTTTGCCACAGCATCATAAAATTTAAGATTATCAGATTTTATATAGGCATCAGATATCCATTCATCATAACTTTGAACAAATGAAGCATTATCAAATTTATTGTCAAATTTTAACTCGCCTTTAACGAAATATTTGTCAATATCTTGTAATTCCTCTTCTGTTGCAAGAGTTTCTGCAGGACACAAGCCACAACAATCTTGAAAAATTTGATACATACTTCCAAAAAAACACGGATGACGATGTATTTTACTAGACTTGGAATTCATTGAGTAATCCTATATTTTTTTAAAATATTTTTCAAAAAAATAAATAATTTATATGTATTAAAAAAAAATTTATAATTTAAATGTTAAAACCTTTGCAATAATCATCTTAGTAATTTTTTTAGCATCAAAATCTGGTCCATAGGGAATAGAAACAATTTCGTAATCATTCATTTCAAATTTGTTTATACGTAAATTTTGACCTCTATTCCGCCTACGTTGTTGATATTGGTCACCAAGTGGATTGGGGGGACGTATTGACATTTCTCGTCTTTTTTCAGTATAATAGAACCTTTGATCTGTAGTTTTTAATCTTTCTAAAACCAATAAACGAGCTAAGCCATTTAACCTTGAAAATTTACGTTCATAAATGATTGGATTTATAATATCTCTCCGCAGTCCAGGTATCTTTACCTAAATAATAAATTGCATTAATTAAAAATATATATATAAATATAAATGCGTTTCTTGGAAAATAAATACTTCAAAACCTCTTTCAGCATATTTTGCTAAGCGAACTTCATAGGAAGCGGATCGACACGAAAGATCAATAATATTACATTGTTTAATAAAAGCTTGATGTGTCTTGGGTGCAGCCCAAACATCTTTACCGTCAAAACATACTCTGGTCGAGTCGCTGTGTCATAATCATTATAATAATGTATATTATCATTATTTTTTCTTGGTTATTTTTCTACTAAATAAAAATTTAATTACATATCAATGTGCGCCATTAATTCAGCAGGAGTCTTGTAAGGTTTTAAAACAATCTAATCAAATGAAATTATTTAGATTATGATGGTGGTTTAGAATCATAATGAACCTATGTATAAAAACTCTTTTGTATTTTACCTGTATAATACGATATGGATATTTACTAACAATGTTAACTGAATATTTTCCACGAACACAAACTACTTGGAATGGAACATTTTTGGAAAAAGTTGTAAAAATATCCAACATTTTCTTTTTAGCAGCTTCTTCATCAAGTCCATAAATATACATATCAATATCAGAACTGACGAATGAAGATTTATTGTGGTAATAGTCACGTATCTTATGGACATTTTTATGAAAGATTTTAGGAATTGGTAAAAGACAAGCCATAACTGAACCTCCACCGACAATAACATTATTCCAATCTAAACCTTCCAAACTTTTTTCAGTAAATAAATCCCAATTTTCTTTGAAAGAACCAATACCACCCAAAGTTATTGCAGCCTCGCCTTCCTTTTTCTTTTTGTCTGGCTCTAAAGGCATAACATAAATAGAAGTATCTTTTTCATTCTCGGGAGAATTTGTGATTTTCCAAATATCTTCATTTTCGTAAACTTTGAACATGTTCAAATATTTGTCTGATAATAAAGGGTCATTTGAAGAGGTTTTGAATAATTCACAAAAATAGGAAGCTTTTGATAGAGCCGCATCGATCCCTTGTTCATCTTTTTTGCGAAAAGCAGATAAATAATCCAAAGCAGTTTTATCTTGCATTTGAAAATATTTGTTTGTTATAACACTATAAAAATTAATATTAATGCTGGTGGTAATAATAAGTAAGTAAATTTGTTAGTAATAATTATTACTGTAAAAATTTCAATGATAAAATCTTTGGGAAAATTTGGTACTGATAAAAATATTATTATATAGGATGTTATTCCCCGTGACCTACCTCCAATAAAAAATCCGATAAATAAATAAAATAAAAATAATGTATACATGACAAAAAAAAAAATACAATAAATACTTTGTATTTATTCAACCAATAAAATTAATAAATAAAATCCCATAATGCATAAATTTTGTGAAATAAGTTAATATATAAGTCATAGATCGAGTATATAGATGTCCACCTTAGGGTGCGACACTTATTAAAATTGGAACGATACAGAGAAGATTAGCATGGCCCCTGCACAAGGATGACACGTTCAATCTTGAGTGGATAGTACCTTCGGGTACAAAATTTTTTTTTTATATTTTATATTAATCGTATTTATTATAGTTGAAAAGAATGTTAGAAAAAAGAATTTTAAACTTTGTTCTGGCTTTTTAGACATTTATAAAAAAGCTTTTTTTTTGATAAAACATACATTATTTCCATATAGTAATAATTTTCTTTTTTTCAGAGAACACCTTCTTTTATGATTTGATGAATGTGAACAGTTTGATTCAACCAAACAATAATTAATTAATGAAACAGGATGATGATAATAAGTGGAAGAAACTGTAAATTTGATTACTTTACTAATAATGCCACATGAATTTTTATTACATCCGGAGGTGTAGTAAGTCCAGCTGCTATACCTCAGTTATCAACCTAATGGAAGCTTCCCAAGGTTCAATTTTTGATGATTTGTGTTTTGTGCATCAAATACTTTTTAAATATTCATATATTGGAATTTGCATGTGGACGGATATGTCTAGAAGGTAAACAAAGAAAATTAGGAATTAAATTTTTATAGAAAATGTAATCAAACAATCAAATAATAATCAAATAATAATAATAATAAAACCATACATGTATTGATATTTATAACAAATGAAATTTAAAAAAGAAACAGTACCATTTAAACTTCATTCAAGTTCAAAAATGTGATGAGATTTTTTGAAAGATCAACATTTGATACCAATAAAAAGGACAGTATTTAAAATGTGAATTTTTTTTAAATTGAAATCACTAAGATTAATTGTGCACAAAAGGAACAACTTACAGCACCAAGTTCACATGTTTCAAAACGTTTTTATATTTAAATTTTTCATAAATTAATTAAAGGTTCAATACATCAAAGAAATTTATTGTTTATATATTAATGTTTTACCTATAAAAGTACTGCAAGGTATTTTTTGGTCAATACCGATTGTTTTACGTTTATGATGAATTTGAATTAACTTTTTGGTTACTGATTGTGGCCTGAGATTCAAGAAAGAAATGGATTTCAAGCTTTTATATTCAATGCTTGTCGATTAACTTATTTTACGAATTTATTCAACATTTTTTTTTGCTTGCTGCCTCTTTCTTGTGCTTTAGTGATCCATAACCATGATATGTAATGATTTACAACAAATAAAATAAATATGGCCCTTTTCTAAGTTCCTTTTTTATTCACTTTACTTTTGGTTAATAAGTGTCAGCACTTTTATATTCGGTTAATTGATAACAACCGTTAACACTTTATACTTTTACTGAACAGTTTTAACACCTTACGTTTACATGTGAGCACTTTTACAAAAACTTGAACAAAAATTAAACCTTTACTAAGCGGAAACCTTACTTATTTATTTGATTTCTAATGAAGTAGAAATAACAACCACAATAATCAATCACTGCAACTTATGACGTGAAAAGTAAATGACTATTTTCTCAACTAGATACTGATTTAGGTTTAGTTGATTTTGTTATAAATACTAAAAGATAAAAAATGTTTTGGAAAATAATACCATATATAAAAATTATTGAAAAAAATCAATAACGTTTTTTCTTTAGAATATTCCAAGTAATGCTATATACTGGCAAAGCTTGAATTAAAGAAATATTATTGCACCAATTGCATAAATAAACACATGTGTGATAGATTGAAAATTTGCCATCAATGCATGACCTCTTTCTAAAATTTGTAATTTTGTTTGATTTCTTGAAAGTCTTCAGATTCAAATGCGTAATCGCAAGCAATGCTCATTGCATATGCTCTAGAAAAAGTTGAATACTGAGAAAAGGTGTTCACTATAGTTCGAAAAAAAATATATCATTATAACAAAATTTTAAAAACTTGCTTCGTTGAAATAGGGTTATTTATTAAAAATAAATGTTTTGTCTTCAATAACGTTTTTTCTTTAGAATATTCCAAGTAATGCTATATACTGGCAAAGCTTGAATTAAAGAAATATTATTGCACCAATTGCATAAATAAACACATGTGTGATAGATTGAAAATTTGCCATCAATGCATGACCTCTTTCTAAAATTTGTAATTTTGTTTGATTTCTTGAAAGTCTTCAGATTCAAATGCGTAATCGCAAGCAATGCTCATTGCATATGCTCTAGAAAAAGTTGAATACTGAGAAAAGGTGTTCACTATAGTTCGAAAAAAAATATATCATTATAACAAAATTTTAAAAACTTGCTTCGTTGAAATAGGGTTATTTATTAAAAATAAATGTTTTGTCTAGTTTCCTATATAACAAAATTTTAAAATGTAAAGGTTCAATTTTGATTGGAGGTGTCAAATTTTTCAAAAAATCCGCATACCGTAAAATCTTGAAAGATAGCGCCTGTGACATTTCCTTTTTTTATGGTTTGTTCATTATATTAATCGTCACGAAAATTGTTATTTGTCACGGTGTTATCTCTCGAGATTTTTACGGTATTAAATAAACGACTCTAGTTTGTTATTGCTATATAGTGAATGTTATTATTGATTTAAACAGAATATTCCTTATTTACTTTATTATCAAAGAGATAAATAATTTAATATATATATAATAATAACATATATATTGCAGAAATAAATATCTAATTGAAAGAATAAATAACATACAAAACATACATTTTATCTATCAATTTATTTTGTTTGATTAGATTTGATTAATCTTCACCGGCTGGTACTTCCTCCTTTAAATATCTAATAAACTTCACTCTCATTTCAGTTTGATCATCACCTTTTAATACATCACTAATAAAATATGCTTCAACTTGTAGTTGAACCTTTTAGGAGATTTAAATTATTAATATGAAAATAAAAATTCACCCATCCATTCTCCATTATTCACATTCATTATCATTATTATGATAACTTACCATTTCTAAAGAACCTCTTAATACACCACATAATATATTTGAATACCATAACTCATCCATATTTCCATCATCTGGCAATTCAACAAACTCGGCTAATGGATTCTCATCAAAAATAAGTGAAAATTCTATTAAATCTTTGCCATTCTGTGACCAATTTGTTAAAGTTGGTGTAATATTTAAAAAAATCTTGAATCCAACCTTTTTTTAAAAAAATAATTAATTAGATTAATAATCTATTAACTTTATATATTTACACATATATATATATATATATATATATATATATATATTGGATCAAAACCTTGGAAATAACTTCTGCAGTCTCACGAAAATCAGAACAACGTCCTAAACTTGATCTTGCAAGAAAATCTTCAATCAATCTTACACCAATATTATATCCCCTATATATATCAAAAGAAAAAAAAACTTATTAATCTTCATTTCCATTAAAACTCATTCCATCCGACTATAATAATATCATTACTATTACATTTTTTCTAATTGCTTGTTGACTTCTTGACAATCTTCATAATCTTTGACTAGTTGTGCAACAATTGAACCATAAGTCAAAGTAAATAATTCTGCATTCTATTAATTAAATTATAAGACAATTAATTAAATTAAATTTTTTCAAAAATTAATTATTAAAAAAAAAAAAAAACAAAGAAAATTACAATTTTTTCAACACGATTTTTCCATACTTCTTCACCTAATGTTTTATATTGTTTAAGAGACATGATTAATTATGATATAAAAGTAATAAACTTTTTATTTTATTTATTTATATGTCACGCGCTATCTAATCATAATAAATGTCACACCAAATGAAAATATGCATGAGATTGTGCTCTCGAAGGACCAGGAAAACGTGACCGCCAACACTATTGACAGTAAATGGAAAAGGTCACTCCACTTCTATATAATTCGAAAAAAATGAATAAAAAATGTTATCGGTTACACTATAATTCGCGTTATTAATATTAATAAAATTAAAATGAAAAGTCATTCCTTATGATTCACGCCAAAAACGTTTTCCTAACTTCAAGAATTTGTAAATGTGGTCAAATTATTTCACTTGGAGTCAATTATCAAGTGTTTCGGACAAAGTTATTACGTTTTATGAAAAATGTGTGCAACGACATTCATGGATAGAAAAGCCGGCAGATCATTAATCATATATTTCTATTAAAGCATATCTTCCTGTATTTTTCATGTGAAAATTTGGCAGGAGACATTACAATTCATATTACACCACGAGAAGTAGTTTATTTTTTGGGAATACGTCCTTATTCTAATATTAATGATAATCCTTGTTTGATTGCTAATTTATAATCATTTTAGTCAATCAAGCACACAAAACTTTCTTTTAATCAATAAAGATGAATTTCATGTCCTCAGTTATTTCGATTCGCATTATTAATAATTTTTTAAAATGTGTTCGGAAAATCGATCCGCATAATTATAAAAAACTAAGATTCGCATTAATGTGATTTGTCATTTAATTTGGCAGTCACATACAAGAGAGTTTTCCCAGTCCTGCTCTCGATAAGCTGTTCATCTTTGATAAGTCAGCACATGCACAGCTGATCAATCAAATTTGTCTATGTACTGGAGTTTTCCCGATTTGGAAAATTCTATCAAAAATAAATACATATGTAAACTCGATAAGTCGGTCATGTGGGGGTGAGCTCATATGACCGACTTATCGAGTCGAGTTAAATTACTTTAATATTAAGAAAATGGGGGTGAAAACTTTGCCGACTTATCAAGTTTACATATGTATCTTTATTCGATTTTGGTTTTAGCTCTTCACCCCAAAAGATAGCTTTTATTAAATAAATATACCTTTTATATAATTTATTTTAAAAAGTTATGCCATGGAAAGATGATGAAAAGTAAAACACAGACAAAAGATGTTGAAAAGTTACTAATATCACAATCATACTACATAATAATGCAATTGTGATGTTGAACAAATTTCAACAGTAAAATTTGTGACATTATGTCAAATTTGTTGGTTTTCCCCCAAATTATTTAATTTATATACTTGTATGTGACAGAAAATATTTGTGTATATATGAATGAATGATTGAAATGATTAAATAATTAATATAGATAGATAGTTATATACATGTTTATACATTTAACAAATCAATCCATCCCAATTTGAGTGAGGATTCCAAGTTTTTTTTTTGCCTGATTAACAGTGAATTAAAAACCTTCCAGAATCTCAAGGTATTGTCATTGCCACTTGCCCCTGATATCTTCTCCATTTGGTGAGTGACTCATGTATAGAACTCAATAAGTATGACTTTTTAAAGTTCTATTTTTTTCATCAATGGGTGCTTCCAAATATAGATATCATTTTTCCACTAGCCATGTGTAAAAACTATTACATTCATAACCAATGACCAATGTAAATTACAAACCTATAAATATAGAATATGAAAAATAAAATGGTATTTTAAATAATGATGATTCATATAATAATAGCTACTAATTATTAATTGATTTGCCATGCCTGAGATTTTGAATCATGTCTCCCTAAGCATTTTCCATTAAAGTATTCCAAATATAAATCTTTCTATCAAAGTGACCATCACTGTTAACTAATAAATTATTTTCATGTGGGCTCTATTATAAAGCTTGAATTGCAGCAGTGTGATCATGAAGACTGTAAATTGGGTTATGATTTCTATTCTCCCAAATAAAAAAAAGTGCATTAAGATTACTACTGCTCACTAATTGGTTTCCTTCAATATTCCATTCTAATCCACAAATCTATTAAGAATACCTAAGCATAAGTTCTTAATTAGTATTTTGTTGTTCAACAAAAAAAATTTTTTTTGACATTTACCAACTTGTTTCATATGTCCATTCATGTCATGAATTTTCGTGAGTGTTTTTAAATCCCAAATTTGTACTCTTCCATTTAGCATACCCACTGCAAGGTTCATATTCTAAAAATAACAATAATTGATTAGTGTAAAAAAAGGATTCTATATTAATTCCATTGTATATTTTTTAAAGATCACTCTCTTCTTGATATTTACCATCCTGGACTATTTGACAGATGTAACTGTAGACTCTATGTTTAATGTTTGTAGTTGCATCAACTAATTAATTGTTTAAAAAGATACATGCTAAACAGATTATATCTTAAATTTTAACATATATTTATCAAAAATATAAAAATAAAAACTTTTACCCATTTTGCACACAATTCCAAAGATGAACCATCAAATCTAAACCAAATCCTAGCATGTCAAAAGTAGGCCAGTCAAGAACATTCAAGTAAAAATCGTCCTTTAAAATAAAGCAAACAAACAATTATCATTATTATTATTCGGATTTGTTAAAAAACAAAAAATCTTTTTTAATTAAATAGGAACATTATTATGAAAATTCCATGCTTGACATGGTTTGGAATCAATATGTCAACATCATATGAAAATGGTGTGGTAGCATAAACATCATTATGAACATCATAAGTGAAAGAAGAAGGTATTAATAAAATTTGAATTAATAACAACGGATATGATAGGCATTATTTGTTTTTCCTAGAATTGGTTTTTCGTTGTTGGAACCCTTTCTAATACTAAGTAACATGCTGCTGATTGCAGTTATTTTTTATCGAATAATAAGAAATTATTAGTTTACTTGATCTATGTTTAATTCAGCATCACTAGCTATTTCATCGATTTTAAGAAGAAAAAAACCTCATAATTTTATTTGCAAATAATCATTTTTATGTTCAACAAACATTAAACCTGGTTCAAGCACATACCATGACTGTATGGACTGTCAAATGATTGATTCTTCTATCAAACCAAGGGTCAGTCGTGTTGCTTGCTTACATCATTTCTAATACAAATAAAGTAAATCTGGCTGGATATTAATATAATAACGAAACAAATATTTACTTATTCAAACAAAAAAATTAGTGGACATGCCAGATAATCAACCAATTTGGTTTTTTGGACCTTTTTCAAACCTTATGTCTTTTTGTGTCTCGATGTTAAACACGAGTATTTTTAATGTGTAAACTGGTTAGCAGAACGATAATTAACTCTAAAAAAATTTATTTGCTCCGCTAAAGAACTATTTTACTATTCAACAGCCTGTCAAACCAATGGCCCCCACCTCAAAACCAATGGGTTTTTTGCTAGTATAAAGTATTCATAACGTTATGATCATACCGTACTGAATTTTGGGGATCAAACAAAATCAGCGCATATGTAACAACAAAGCAACGAGAGTATTGGATCAGTCATGTAATCCCTGAAATTTCTTTGTTACTGTTACTATTCTAGCACGCCCCATATACATTCTATGAATAGAATTGAATCAAGTACTAGTACCCAATTAGAATCGATCCGAATTTCATTGGTCTTATTCTTCATTACTAAAATTTTCTATATAGTTTTTGCCATTCCCCTGGATTAATGAAATTGAATAGAGTAGTTTTGGAAACGTTGATTAATTTCTCCAAGCAAAATTCATTATAAAATTATTAAAACTATATTTTTTCAAACAGTCTCTAGGGTCAAATTTTTACCTGATTGTATCACTTTGCTAGGGCCCTGAATATGAGATATTACCAATTTGACTTTTTTATTAATAAACATTTGGGATCCCCATTTACAAACCGTATGATGCACTAAGGATGTGGCAGAAAATTTATCACCAAGTCAGAACTCGGCGGACCAATTTTTTTAATTTTTTTATTAATATTAAATAAACAATTTTTTATTACGTGATTATTTATCTGACTGATATAATTTGTATTGTTTTTTGATGATAGAAAGGAAAGTAGATAATGATAATGCAATCAATAAAATAAAATATTTAATAATGCATATTATTAATCATAACATTACAGCAGTGTTTTGAACAAAAAAAAAAAAGGCAAGACTCTGACATATGTAGATCTTTCAAACCTTTAATTCACTTCTACTAGTACCCAATTAGAATCGATCCGAATTTCATTGGTCTTATTCTTCATTACTAAAATTTTCTATATAGTTTTTGCCATTCCCCTGGATTAATGAAATTGAATAGAGTAGTTTTGGAAACGTTGATTAATTTCTCCAAGCAAAATTCATTATAAAATTATTAAAACTATATTTTTTCACCTTGTTCCTTTTTTAGAATACTTCTAATGGTGCTGTAATTCTTGGGTTCCATAGTAGATCTGATGTAAATGAGTTTCATATTAACTATTTTTATATAGGAGTAGTACTGTATATCACTTGAGAAACAGGAAAGGTAAAAAAAACGGACATTATAAAATTGTTAATTGCATTACATTTGTGATGAATGACTAAATTTTGATCCCTGAAATTTTTGATAATATCAATGTTCACTTTGTCTGGTTTTGTTGCAGCATGCCCCATATATAATTTCACAAAATGTTAAAATGCTTCAATGATTTAGACATACATATGCAACAGTGGCCCTTGTTGTTATTTAAGCATCATAATTATTATGAAAACAATTTGAATCTCATGAATAATAATAAAAAGATCATTTTATTAGAATTTGAAGTAACAAGAAATTCAATATTTATCATTTTTTTTTCTTTTGTTATAATAATCTTATTTACAAGATTACAACAAATCAATAAATAACTATATAACATAATATTATTAGAAAAAATATATAGCAAAAAAAATTTTTCATTTTTCATGTTAATAAAAATTTAACATTTTCATAATACAATAATAAAGGATTTTCTCCACTTGAAGTTTTAGTTTTGTTTAAATCTGCATATCTTTCCATAAAATTTTTATGTGTCAAGATTTTAACTTTTTCATCCAATGATGACTTTGATGAAAAAAACATTAATTGATACAAATCTTTTAACAGCTCAAAATTTATTGGGAAAATAATATCAAAATATCCAGGTTTAACCAAATAAGTTGAACATGGAATCATGGTTTGTTGAAATCTTGTTTGAACAGCTGGTGCATTATCTCCTATTCCACCACCATCTTGTTGTAAAATTGAATTTGTTAACTTGTAAAAATCTGTTATGATTAATCGATGTTTTGGAAAATAATGTTTCAATACAATTAGGAATTGTAATAGTTTTGTTGGTATGAATTCTGATTGTGTCATATTATAGGCAAGTGGTAATTTGTTACGAAGTTTTCTTAATAGACGGTTTTGTAGTACTGGTGACTTGTAAGAAGTTTGATTCCTTATTGAGAGGAGTTTACTGATTAATGGATCATTAATTGGTTCATAAACTTCTTCAAAATCACCCTCATTATCTATTATCACTACACCTTGTAATGGTTTCTCATTAATTGCATCATATCTAATTACATCATGAGCAAAATTATCCTACATAAATTTTTTTTTTTTTTTTAAGAAAATTTGAAAATTAATTTAGTTGCAAATCAAATCAAATTAAATCAAATCAAATGATTCATATTTTATTATTGTACATACCAACACTTCACAAGCCAAGAAAAAACAATTTTCATTAACAACTTCACACCAATCAAAAATATTTTTATTAATAATCTCTATACAATCATGATGATTATTTAATGTTTTTGCTGCTGCATCTCTTCCACCACTACTACCAAGAAAACCCACTCTTTGATTTTTATTATTTTTACTTTTTTGCATTTCAGCAGCCAATCTATGACTGATTTCCACAACTCTATATTTAGTTTTTTTATAAATTGCTGGTTCAAATTTCTGTAAATAATCCAATATATTTAACATTAATGTTCCATTGCCAGCTCCTAATTCATAAATTATTAAGTCATTTTGAGGATTTAGATTATATTCTGTTGCTATATATTTTGCTATTGAGTAACCATACCATGGCTATATAAAAAGAAATCATATAAAAGGAAAAAAATAAATATAAAAGATTAATAATCATGATATATATTTTTTTAATTTTAATTAATTACCTTGAATAATTCAGTAGGGGTATGCCGAATTTGTCTAAGAAATTGTTTATCTTCTTTCTCTAAATTATTTTCGAATTCTTGATACTGTTTACCAACAACATTTAAAAATTCCAAATTATCTTTTATTTCATTAAATTTAACAACATTATCATCCGAAGTTGAAAAAATTGCAACGTTTTTTGAAAAATATCCATAATTCGGATTGTATAATGAATCATCAATAAAATCTCTAACTAACATTGTGCATGACTTTGGTGGTTCTTTATAATTTAGAGTGTCATAGGATGTCAAACGTGGAATATTGAATCGATTTTTTTGATTTGGTGTAAATGTTGGTAATGAGGAGGAGGAGGCATGGGTACAAAAGGTAAATTTCTTAGTAATTTTTTTATAAGAAATATCTAAGAAATTTGGTGAATTTCTTAAATATTTTTTGATGGACATTTTTATAAATAAACCTTTAGAAAATCTTTATTTTTTATATTAGAAATTTTCTTATGAGAAATCCCTAAGAAATGTTTAAATATTTTTCATTAGACATTTTTTTATACAAAAAATAAAGATTTTTTAGATATTTCTAAGCATTTTTTTTTAGTGGGTACTTTTTATAATAAAATCCTTATTGATTAATAATAATAATATAGCAAAATATACTATTTAATTATAGCGCATATATATAACAATAATTCATTTTTATTAAAGATTAAATTTTTCTATTTAAAGGAATTACCACAGTAGAAGGAATTTATGTCCAGGAAGAGTATAACTTCCTTTTACAAATTTATTAAAAGTTCTTTGTACTGGAAGAATGCTTTCTAAAGTTAATGTTTTATTTAACTATCCCCAAAGTTCTACATTATACATTTTTTTATAAGTATCTCCCTGTAATCCCGATTCTATATAGAACCAATCTCTCTTTTTATGTGATTTAAATCAACTAACATAGCAAAGAGTATGTTCTGTTATCCCTAAGGAAGCTTTACAGAATGCTTAAAATAATAATTAACTACTCCTGGATAACAAACAACTTCTTTGTTCTCATTTAAAAATTGTGCAATAATATAATATAAGCATTGGGATCTGATTTACAACCTACTGATGAAAATATTTCACCTCCGAGTTTAAGAAATTTTTATTTTATCTCTTAATTCGTGATACGTGATAGAAATAGATAATAATAGTAATTTCGTCTCAATGGATTATAATTAAATTCGCGTTTAAAAACCTTGTTACTATTACTATTACACATTATTATAAAACATATAAAAATCCATTATAATTAGTAATTTCGTTTCAATGGATTTTAATGAAATTTTCTTATATGTCCAGCCACTCCATTGAAACGAGGGCTAAACTGTACAATGGACGTTGTTTTTGTTCTTTAAGAAGCTCCCAAATCGGTAAAAGGTAATCTTATCTTAAGAAAATATTGAAATTGCTTGTTGTCACAAATAATAGTATGTATATCCAATGAAAATAATACTAATGGTACTAATAGCAGTGATGTTTATGTGGAGATTTGAGCAATAAAAAATGGAAACTAATAATATTCAATTATATTATTCAAGAATAATTAAGAATAAAAAAAATATATTCAACTTAAAAAAAAAAATCATTAACACTTTAGATTTCTTTATACTTTATCACTGATTTTAACCATAAATAGTATTTTATGGGCCAGACCAAACCTTGTTGGTCTCAATGGACCCGGCCTATTGCCAATCCTGGGATAATACTCCTTAAATTGAAAATAAGCACATCTTTATAAAAAGATTAAGGTGTTTTACCTTCTCAGTTTGTGAAACATGCTTTATCTCTTAACAAAAGTGTCAAATATTACATCCTGCAAATGATAATCACTAACTTTTTTTAAAAATAATTGATTTTCGGTAACCTTGGCACCAAGCAAAGTGTTTCAAATCAATAATATTCAAAAAGATATAAAATATTATATTATTATTGAATACTAATTAATATATTAATTGAAATATTTCTTTGTAACATACCAATGCAATTCCTTTCTTCAGGAAGTGGCTAGGAAATAAGATAATTCATGGATAATCTTTAAATTGGTAAAGAACTCCATCGCATGCAACCACAATCCGTTTTTTCTCTTGCTTATTGATTCCACTAAGTTCTTGTATGTGATCAAGAACCTTACGAACATTGTCAATTGAGTTTGGATTTATTGGCAACAGGTCAGGTACAAGAATATCTGATACACTGATACCTTCACCAGGAACTGATTTTTGTGTTATACTAATGGGACTTGTATTTACGTTTAAAGTCTTTTTTCAATTTGATAGAATTTAATATTTAAAGGTGCTGTGATATTTTCTTTGGATGTTTCCTGATTTATTTCTTGTTCTTATTCTGGAAAAAAGCAAGGAGAGGGTAATATTACATTGAGGACACTTACATTTCGAATTCTCTATTTCATTCATACCATATTCACCACGCTGTTTTATTTTTCCTGGTTTTGCATTATATTTGGAGATAATCACAAAGCTGTTGGATCAAGTAATTCTTGCATTTCTGGTGCGACGTCATAAAGAGTTTGAGTTTGTGACAAATCTAAGGACAAACAATTCGTTTGTAATAAACATTTTCATAATTTAATAATAAAACACTTGTGGTCGGAAATTAAATTAATTCTCCACCCGCAGTTTATAAAAGTCGCCAAGAGTTCGCCACATTTTTTTGAAGTTTCGGCTACCATCACTACTTTTTTCCCGCTTTGTAAATTGTTAACGAGCTTGAGCTTTCGTATTTGTAGTTTTTGAAAAATAAAATTTTGTTTTTATTTTCTCGGTTGCTTCAAGTAAGAAGCAATAGTCGAAGAGTTTTGGTAAAAAGCCATTGTTGTGCAATGAACAGTCCTAACATTCGATTCTTTTGTACAGGCATTGGCTATATTGTTTAAGATCCATATGTGTATGTTTATGTATGTTATATTTAAATTTTTTATAGAGTTCATATTATACGTTTACAAATATAAACAAAAATCAGTCGTGATAATCCAATTGGAGCATTCACATTGATTGGTAGAGAGAGAAATTTTCAAAAGAAATTTGATTATTACTGGAATAGAAAAGTTTCTACTGGAAAGCAGAACATTTACATATTGTATGCAACTGATGGTGTGAGTGTTTCTGTCCATCTACAAAAGCCAAAAAAAAATTGAATGTAACCAAATACAGCACAAAAGAATATTATGGAATTTAGAAGAGCATGAGAAAAAAGGAAGTCTGAATGAACCTTGTGGGGTAGAAAGTAAATAAATCATTTTCCCCAAACATTTTTTTTTAATCTGTGCTAAGTTAAAAATAAATTCGTTGAAAAGGTTTGGACAATAACAAGTATACACGAGCCGTTGTCATGTTTTACACACTGATTATGAGTGCTAATGAATTAATTGAATGAATTGGATAATATATTATATAATATTCTAGGTTTGCCAACACCTTCTGTTCCTTCAGTTCATAACTTTCAACTATAGTATTTTCTCTGAAATACTTTTCATGTGGATGATTTACTTGATTCCTATAAAGAAAAACATCAGCAAACAAAATGCAATGGAATGATGAAGAGAAAACTATTGTAGCATTTGGGTAGGTATGCTTATCTTTTTGATACTAATCTTCATTTAAATTTTCTATCTGGTACACTGATTTTATTTTGTAATCATGACCATGTCCTCTTTCTCTCCAAGTTCCAAAGATCACTCAGAGTTGAGAAAAGATGTAAAGTAAAAATTATAAATGAGTTTGGAACTAGTTCTAAATGTGAAGTATGCTCTGCTAAGTATGTAAGATTCAATTAAATACTAATATTCCTTTGATTATAATTAGCTAATTAAAGTTGTAAGACATATGTGGAACTGTTATGTTAATGCTGCCCGAAATATGAAGAACATCATTTTGTATATACAGTCATACCTCGTTTTATTTATATCCCATCTTTAGTTGTATCCCCAATATGTGCTGGAATAAATTTTCCTAATATACCTTGTTTGTATTCCATTGAGTTATATCCAAATCCCCACATTTTCAAAATTCTTCCACATTTTATATCCCCAATTCGACCACAATTTACTGTGCAACATAAAATAAATTTTCTGTGTTTCCAAAAAAGTTTTTAGAACAAAGTGATTTTGCTACTAAGGAAGATATTAAATATATTAATAATATAATAAAACGTTTAAATGTATCTACAGATAGAAAAAAACGTCAATCTTCAATTACTGAATTTTATGATAATAAATAATAATAAATAAATTAAATTAAATAAATTTTAGTAATAAATTTTCAATAAATTATCACGTGATGAATTTTAGTTATATCCCATAAACCTCTCAAAAAAAAAGGGGATATAAACGAGGTATGACTGTAAATGAGAAAAGCCCGATATTTTTAGGAGGGAAGTCAATTGATCCACTGCTGCACATGATTGTGATAAGAAAACTTGGCAGCAATTGAATTTTCTTTTTGTCGTCTTCAACGTGTGCACAATAATACAGTTTGTCCTCTCCAATTTAACGTAACAGGTTTATTTGTCATAAAGATATAATCTTTAAATCAACATCCTGAACATAATGTAGATCAATGGCAATGATGTTAGATGGAGGAGGTGACGGAATCACAAAAGTAAGTGACATCCCATGATAAAAGCATCCTATTTGAATGTTGACAACGTATTTCCCAGGTTGCAGAATGATTTGATTTCCTTGACGGTCAATCGTCCTAAATCAATAAATTTGATTAATCAAATATAAATTGACTATTTATTTGTACATTTATTAATTTTTAAAAGAATAAAAGTTTGATGATGATAATTACCACATTTATAAACAACTTATAATAATAATATATCCATCATATTTGACATACAATAATTACATTTGCTCATCACAATTCAAAGAAATCTTATCATCTTATACAATTCCTCATCATGTTATTATAATGATAGTGATGATGACAAAAAATCAGAATTAACACAACAACAAGCAATACTACACTGTAGTTATTCAAGCTGTCGTCACTATTCCAAATAATTCCTGCCAGCATCACCAACACAAACACGCCCCCATTTTCTTTGCCATCATCATTATTAGAAAAATATATCGTCATCATAACAATGATAAATCATATTGATGTAAATCAATTTTATAAAAGTCCACCAACATATATTGACCAAAAATAAATCAACCATCGCCTTCAATATCTCCATCTTTTACTGTTGTTCCAACTGGAAATTCTGCTGTAATTATTGATTTAATGACAACCATAAATACAACAATATCTCAAACTTCGAATAAACAACATTTATCACCGTCACTATCTCCATTATTCCTAATCCATTTTTTAATTTTAATCCAAAAAATGTAGCTTCCAAAAATTATAAATTATAAATATATTAGACGTTTCTCATCTACTCATATCTTTATATATAATCTTATCTTTATTGATTATGAATATTTTGTTGTATTAAGCATATTAATATTTAATTTAATTTCATAAAATTTGTTAAACAAATTTATTAAATAATAATCAAAAAAATTTTTTTTTAATTTGATTTGATTGAATTAATATCTTCATTATATTCTATGTAAACTTTTTTGTTATAATCTGATGAATCAATCATTTATAATATTAAATTTGGGTCATGGTAAAAGGGATATATTTAAATCATTATTGAGAAGCAAATTACCTGGAAGAAATACAACTATATATTTTGTTGTCCATTTATTTTTATTATTCTAAACATAAATAAACAATTAATCGATTCAATAAATGTATATATACGGTTTGTTCATATGACACCGAAATATATAATAATATAATGTACAAAACACAAGATAATATATATATACCTTCAGCATATCAATTGATCCTTTCCCGTATGAATATGGTCCCTCAACAATAAAATTTAATATTCTATGTTTAGTTCCGTTAGCCTCTACAGCATCACGAAAGCTGAAAATATTAAAATTAAAATCAAATTAAATTGATTATAAATATTATTTTATAGATAGTAACTCACCGTGGAGAATGACGCCGCCTTCTTGGGTTTGACCCATGTCCACCATGTCCAGTCATAGGCAAGCCAATTAATTTTTGACACTAGAAGAAAATAAAAACAACAATGAATTATTTTATTTATATATGTTGAGATTATAATTTTTTTCAACATGCCTCAATATCAGCTCTAACTTTGTCCAATGCATCACCAAATACTCTTGTTGAACTTTCGGGTCCAAAAATTTCGGTATAAATATAATATATAATCACACCTTTTTTAAATAAATGATTATATTAAAATTTATAAATTTTCTATTTCTAGAAAAAAAATTTAAATAAAAAAACTCACCAAAAACACCAACTCCTACCATAATAACTCCAAGGTATGTAGTTACTTTTGTTGCTCCAACAACTATTTGAAAATCAATCTTTTAAATTATTTAATATCTTTTCTTTCTTTTTCCGCTTAATTTTACAATCAATTAGTAAACAAACCCCTACCCTTTTGTTTAAACGATAATTCATCAAATTTTTTGATTTTTCTCCTTTCTATTATATTTTCCGTTCTTCTCTTAGGATTTGAAGCCGTTACATTATGGGAGGAGGTGGTGATACGTTTGTTAACAAACTTTATTGGCGATAATCGTTTATTATATTTTTCTTTTTCAAAATGTCTTTTTAAAGAAACGTTATTACTATTATTATTAAAAATAATAGTTCGTTTATAAAACCTATGTTTCAAAGTATTTGTTAGATTAAGCGAATTTGTCGCAAATCTTATTTGTCTTGGAATTTTAAACATTTTTTTTTAGAACTATTAGGTGGTGACTGAAATTTCGTCGTGTAACTAGTGTAAATTTAGGAACTATCTCCAAAATTAAAAATTTTGATTGGTCTTTAATGTTACACCCCCGCATTCACCACACTGAATTTTCTGGTGATGATTTCAAAATCTTTTTATTATTATGACTTGAAAAAATTTTTTTTTAACATAAAATAAGTTTAAATTAAGAAAATTTTATTAAATTTTTTTATTCCCCCCATTAATATCAATCATAAAGGTATTACTAAATTTAAAAGGAAAAAAAAGAAACCAATATAGTTAGTAATGATATAATTTTTAATGCAAATATAATAAGATGATAATCGTAGTAATTTACATACCACTTTCTCTTCAGATAAACCATCTTTAAAAAATGTGAAATATGGTGTGATACCATCCTCACGATAATTCAATAATGCGATCATACCATCTTGATTAAAACTTTCACCAGTATAAAATTGATAATCTATTTAATATGTATAAATAATATATTGGTGGTGGTTAGTGAAATATAAAAAATAAAAATATTACATCTTTTTTCTAAAATATATTTAGATCGGTCGATACCTTTAACGTTATCAATTATTTTCTTTGAGAAACTCTGAATTTTTTTTTGCCATTCCTTTATATCAATATTTGGGTTTTGTTCTTGAACATGGGCAGCAAGCTTTTTCATATATCCTTTAAGATAAGTTGTATAGGCCTTTTTGTCAAATGAAGTTTCTTGAAGCCGGAATGAATGTATAATATTATTAACTTTAATTGGTCCATCTTCAAGAGGAGCCTCCTCTGATTCTTCGGCTGATGGGTTGGCACCAATATCAACGTCACCCTCTTTGACCGTTACCATCTATCTCATGATGATGATAATAATATAATAGTAATAATCAATATGTGGTTGTGAAATTTTAAATCTAAATTATAAATAAATATTACAATAATTATCATTATAATAAGTATCATAAAACATACTTGACAGTCTACTTCATAAGCAATTTCATCAATTATTTTAAAAGGATAAGCATCAGAAAAAAATTCATCGCCTAATTAAACATAATAGAATAATAAATAAATTAAACAAATCTAAAGAAAATATAAACACAACTTAATATGAACGGATATTTAAATGCATTACCAGAAACAATGTCTTTATAGATAATCATTTTTGTCAATAATAAGATATATATATATAATAACAATATTTTTTTTTTTATCAAAAGAAAATTTTTTCAGTTGTGTTTCCTTGTAATATATACAGTGCATATCACCTTGTCGCAGAAATTTTATTGGCCTTGCAGATCCTTTAAATGTAACACAAAAAATCTTTGCAATCAGGGCTGGCCGCGTAACCTAAATGAGAATTTGGCTAAACTGACTAAACAATTTAGTCATTATAGTCAAGACAATTATTGCCAAATTAGGTTTTTAACACCTTTACGCAGTCAGCACTGCTTACAATATTAACCAGGGAGGACCCCGAACAATCTTAGTAGATGGTACATTTCAATTTTGGGTAGAATCACCCTTTTTTTTTTTGATGGTGGTATATTTGAAAAGCGGGTATTGGCCTCAAATGGTACATTTGAAACTGGGTATTGACCTCATATTAAGGCTTCTATTCGTAATACAAATTCTTATTCGAATTATTCGTAATACGGTTGACCTTTAATTCGAATTAATATTAATATTAAAAAGTTTATTCGAATTTAAAAGTTTATTCGAATTAAAAATTTAATTCGCTTTATTAAAATTATTTGTTTTATTTGTTTTATTCATTATCGGAATCTTGGGTTTGTTCATTCATTTTATTAGATTATTTGGAATCATGGGTTGTT